ATACTTATGTAAATAAGGTATTTCTGTTAGGTTTTTAATAAAATACATTTGCAAAACTTTCTAAAAACATGTTTTCGCTTTGTTATTATGGGGTATTGTGTGTAGATTGAGAGGAAAAACATGTATTTAATATTTTTTAGAATAAGGCTGTAACGTAACAAAATGTGGAAAAAGTCAAGGTCTGAATACTTTCCGAATGCACTATATACCCCTCCATATACCCCTCAAAATATCTCTTCATATACCCCTCAAAATACCCCTCAAAATATCCCTCCATATAACCCTCAAAGTATCCCTCCGTATAACCCTCAAAATATCCCTCCGAATACCCTTCAAGAGAGGCATAATAGGTCATGTCCAACTCCCCTGTATACTGTTGCCCCCCCCCCATGCCACAGCTCCCATGACACTAACGCTAAGCCTGTGCTTCCCCATTGTGTGTGTGAACTGGTGACAGGCATTTACTACAGCCTGAGCCCAGTGGATCCTCCCTCTACTTGATAATTAACAGAGAATGCATGGATTCCGTTAGACTGCAGCACTTCTCACCATCTCTCTATAGAGCGCTGTGTGGGTACGGGTGTCTATGTATGTGTGTATTTGAGTATGGGTATGCATGTGTGTGCGTCCATGTGTGTGTGTGGCTTAGGCAGATAAATTACAGAAGCCTATATTGCTGTATTTGCCACGGCACTGCTCTGCTTCAGCCGAGACACACTGAGATAAGTGGGAGCTCTCATACAGCAGATGGGGTACACAAGGTTAGATAAGGAAACAAACCCCAAACTAATGTTGTGGTAATGAAATGTGAGCGCTACATGCTCAACTCCGAGGCAGGTTTGATTTCCAACTGTGCTGTAGAGGGAGATGCTGAATGACCATGCAGTGAGTCTGTGTTCAATGATACAGTTATTACTCCTCTAGGCAGTAACTTGCTTGGTAAGCTGTATTCTCAAATAAATATATATTTTTTAAATACTTTTTAATGTGATGTTTACATATTTTGAAGGAAGAGCAGATTACGCTGAGCTACTAGGAAAACATGGCACCCTCCTGATCCAAAAAGCTAATTCCAAGGCTACCACTAGTTTTATTGTGACCACATACAGTTTCATCATCAATTTCCTCAGCGTGCTTTAGGCTTCCAGCTTCCAGCTGCATGTAACCTGAGTCATTATACCAGAGATGATTTTTTGCCAGGCAGCGCTGTGATGTCAGAGGCATCAGGAAGAGACAACCAACGAACACACTGAGAGGCATGTCTAGACTGACTAACCTTGCCAGCGCTGCCTGTTGCTGTGGAAACCACTATCCGTGTTGACACACAGGCCACATGGGGCTTTAATTCCATGGCAGGACAATACGGCCCACATTCATCAGAGCTATAGGACCCCATCTCCTGTCTCAGAGAGGTGATGTCACGTCACAACAGTCATTCAGCAGACAGAGAGAGGAGCCATCCAACCTGGTCTCAGAGCATTTCGTATTATTCTGTACGTTAATCCGATACACTCCATTTAGTATGATATGTTAAGTTTCATATGGTATGTATTAATTTGTGGATGTCCATCACCCAAAATTGTCTGTGATGAGATTTGAACTCGCAACCTTTGGATTGCTAGACTTTCTAGTTATACATCTACTCATCCACCTCGACCAACCACCCTACTTTCGTTTTTGCCTTAAGTAACCATCTTTCCTATGTAACCATACCAAACATAACATATCATACTAATTTCAGTGTCCAGGATTTAAGTTTACTATGTTACGTCTAGTCTATGAGACCAGGCTGAGCCATCAGCTCTGCTTCAAACTAATTTCTGATTCCCTAAGCACTCTACTATCACCTCTGTCTATGGTCGGGTCATGACAGCCAGGAGAGTTAACTGAGGTCAGGAATACAGAATATCACATCTGAGATTCCTCTCACATTGGATCCTCTCCGGTCCTTCCCATTTAAGACACTGTTACAGTATAGCTGTGAAAAATATTTCAATGGGGCGACAACCTGTGTCTGACTTCTGTAGATGTTTGCTTTATTCCCCATGTTAACCTCTGTGAACCTGAATCTCTGTTTCTACCTGCAGTTTACCTTCCATTTGTACAGGGTGGTTGCGGCAGCAGGGGCTGCATTCCTACACACCAAACCCAGAACATACAGTTGAAGTCTGAAGTTTACATACACTTCGGTTGGAGTCATTAAAACTTGTTTTTCAACCACTCCACAAATGTCTTGTTAACAAACTATAGTTTTGGCAAGTCGGTTAGGACATCTACTTTGTGCATGACACAAGTAATTTTTCCAACAATTGTTTACAGACAGATTATTTCACTTATAATTCACTTTATCACAATTCCAGTGGGTCAGAAGAGTACATACAATAAGTTGACTGTGCCTTTAAACAGCTTTGAAAATTCCAGAAAATGATGTAATGGCTTTAGAAGCTTCTGATAGGCTAATTGACATCATTTGAGACAATTGGAGGTGTACCTGTGGCTGTATTTCAAGGCCTACCATCAAACTCAGTGCCTCTTTGCTTGACATGGGAAAATCAAAAGAAATCAGCCAAGACCTCAGAAAAAAATGTGTAGACCTCCACAAGTCTGGTTCATCCATGGGAGCAATTTCCAAACGCCTAAAGGTACCACGTTCATCTGTACAAACAATAGTAGGCAAGTATAAACACCATGGGACCACGTAGCCGTCATACCGCTCAGGAAGGAGACGCGTTCTGTCTCCTAGAGATGAACGTACTTTGGTGCGAAAAGTGCAAATCAATCCCAGAACAACAGCAAAGGTGCTGGAGGAAACAGGTACAAAAGTATCTATATCCACAGTAAAACGAGTCCTATATCGACATAACCTGAAAGGCCGCTCAGCAAGGAAGACGCCACTGCTCCAAAACCTCCATAAAAAAGCCAGACTACGGTTTGCAACTGCACGTGGGGACAAAGATCGTACTTTTTGGAGAAATGTCCTCTGGTCTGATTAAACAAAAATAGAACTGTTTGGCCATAATGACCATCGTTATGTTTGGAGGAAAAAGGGGGCCACTTGCAAGCCGAAGAACAACATCCCAACCGTGAAGCACGGGGGTGGCAGCAGCATGCTGTGGGGGTGCTTTGCTGCAGGAGGGACTGGTGCACTTCACAAAATAGATGGCATCATGAGGAAGGAAAATTATGTGTATATATTGAAGCAACATCTCAAGACATCAGTCAGGAAGTTAAAGCTTGGTCGCAAATGGGTCTTCCAAATGGACAATGACCCCAAGCATACTTCCAAAGTTGTGGCAAAATGGCTGAAGGACAACAAGGTATTGGAGTGGCCATCACAAAGCTCTGACCTCAATCCTATAGAAAATGTGTGGGCAGAACTGAAAAAGCGTGTGCGAGCAAGGAGGCCTACAAACCTGACTCAGTTACACCAGCTCTGTCAAGAGGAATGGGCCAAAATTCACCCAACTAATTGTGGGAAGCTTGTGGAAGGCTACCCGAAACGTTTGACCCAAGTTAAACAATTTAAAGGCAACGCTACCAAATACTAATTGAGTGTATGTAAACTTCTGACCCACTGGGAATGTGATGAAATAAATAAAAGCTGAAATAAATAATTCTCTCTACTATTATTCTGACATTTCACATTCTTAAAATAAAGTGGTGATCCTAACTGACCTAAAACAGGGAATTTTTACTAGGATTAAATGTCAGGAATTGTGAAAAACAGAGTTTAAATGTATTTGGCTAAGGTGTATGTAAACTTCCGACTTCAACTGTATGGGCAGACAAAGTGGAAGACAGGGTTACACTCTCAGCAGTGAAATGCACACACAGTTTATATTTGCATTGCTAAATAAACTTAACAAAATCATAAGAATAAGTTAATAGCCTTTGAAGTTCAGTCAGACATTAATTTGGTGCTTTAAGCATAGATGGTCAATTTGAATTTCCCACTTGATGTAGTCCGCATATAAAGATAATCATGTAATTTTGATGAGCAGAGCATATGCACTTAGAAATTCTCTGTCCTCAGCTCAGTTGGGACGCATTGATGTTTTCTAATCCCTGGCCTACCCTTTCCTCCTGCATGATGTTGGTCTGTTCTGTATCGCCACCTGCTGGTTAATTGGAGAACCGTGCGGACAGGGTGATGTGTGCTCACTCCCGTGTGTGATAAATTATGGTTTCCCCTTCATCTGCTGGCAGAGGGCAACTCCTCTGTGTTCTTCGGTGCAGTTTGGTCTAGCTTTATCAAGAACATCGTTGAAGAAGTGTTGTGTGACACACATATCGAGAGCTTGGGACTATAAGGTTCTATGTGCATTTTTGTCAAAATGTCGTTATTGACATAGCCTTGTTCTATTAAATGTTATCTACCTATATAGGACTCTAAATACCCCAATTCATGTTGTTAAGTTCAAAAGAATACAAGATAAAAATTGTTGACACTATTCAAACCAAGGAGGGTTCGGAACTTTAGGTCACACTTTATTTGGATAGTCCATCTGTGGATGCTCTACTATCAACAAACTATCTGTTGATAAGCAACTGTTGCTAAGGTTATGGTTAAGGTTAGGGTAAGGGTTAGGGTTAGTAGATAGTTAGTTGAAATGTTACTGAACTTTAAAGCCAATTATCTCAGAATCCTATTTTTGCAGACAGAACCTTATAGTCCCAAGCTCTCGATAAAAGATCCAAGGACATATTGAAAATACTTAATGAGCTCCAACTCTAATGTGTTCATGAGCGTAAGTGGATTTGTAGAGCCTCGTACTATACAAACTTAAGTTGTTCTTTACTGCTGACTCCAGCATCATCACAGCAGAGGGGACAAACATTTGCACACCTTTGTGAATCACTCCTGATTAAAGTGACTGCTAAATTACTGAGATTGTAAAAAGTGTAATGGGAAATGAGAAGCAATAAAACTCATGAGCCCACTGAGTCGTACTCATACTGTAACCATCTCCTCCTCTTTCTTATACTGTATATTCTAATAGATATCCTATTCCCCTCTGTTCCAGTATGAGCCCTCCAGGGCTGTAGACGCGCCCCAGCTGGAGACATGTTCTAAGGGCAGCAGCAGACCTGCACTGTGGCCACCATGAAAGGGTTAGGAGCCAATCGCAGCCGTCACCTGTCGGACTCCTGTGAGCCATCGGGCGGCCCCCAGAAGCCCCTGTACCCGTTGACCTCTGACCCCCATGGTCCCTTCCTCCTGAGCCCCACCATGAACCACTACGGCACCCTGGACCCCCACCAACTCCACCACTACCAGGCCTCCAACCCCCAATCCCTGCCTCCGGAGTGCCTACTGCCCCTGAACCAGATGTCCAACAGCAGCACCTTCCCCCGCCTCCATGTCACCTCCCAACCGGAACAGTCTGACTACTCCCAGGGCTGCATGGTCCCTGCCGGGGGTGGGCCTGGTGGCAGCCGGGTGGGCACCCTGTCCACCTCCATGTCAATGGGCATGGGCCTGGGTTTCAGCGGGGCTCCCATGATCACAAGTGGATCAGCTACCATCTCTTCTGCGGCAGCGGCCAAGATGAACCGGCTGCCATCTAACCTGCTAGACCAGCTGGAGAAGCACCTGCCCCTGCAGAGGGATGGCTTCAGTACCCTCCAGTTCCACCGGGGCAGGGTGGCCAAGCAGCGCAGCGAGAGTCCCGGACGCATCCGGCACATCATGCACTCTGTCCAGAAGCTATTCAACAAGTCCCAGTCGCTGGAGGGCTCTACGGTCAAGGGCAGCATGAACAACACTACAGGAGGAGGTGAGGAGGGGACCAGGCAGACCCGCAGGAGTAAGAGTAAAGACAGGGCTAAGACTGAGACGTTGAAGCAGCGACCTAGCAGGCAAAATGCACTGGGGCTTTGGAGCTCAGACGATGCCCTGGACAGTGACACCACCACCAAAGCTGGCACTATCGCTGTGGGCTACCGTAACCCACTTAGCATGATGACCCTGGGCAGGGCGGTGTCGGACAGCCAGGCTCCTCCCAGGCACCTCCCACATGGCTACAACACAGTCTCTGCCCACACACTCAAGGCCTCCAAGAGCAGCAGCGACCTCAAGTACCTGGTCTGCCCGCAAGCGCTGACAGGGACCAGGGGAGGGGAGCTGGTGGGAGGAGGAGGCAGGGAGAGCACCCTGGTAAAGCGAGGCTCCTGGTCCACACTGACCCTCAGCCAGGCCAGGCAGGTGCTCCAGAAGGGCTCAGCCACTGTCAACAGGACGCTGCTCAAATCTAAGTCGTGTCACCAGGACCTGACCTGTCAGTACCTCCAGGTAGGAGGCCCAGTGAGTATTATTCACATTAGGCACTAGCAGCCACTGCTCCCCCTAATTCTCTGAAATTAGGAGATTTGTTTTAAAACCTCATTAATTTCAATTACTTTTAACTACTTTAGCAGCATCGTGACATTTACTGTCTATAATCCCATTATTCAAATGCTTTCATTACAAATACACACAACACATTCACGTGAAATGAAATGACACATTCAAAGTCTGTCGCATTAAAGGTCCAATGCAGCCGTTTTTTAACTCAATTTCAAATCATTTCTGGGTAACAATTAAGTGCCTTACTGGCCAAAACTCCATCCCACCAAAACAGGCTGAAATTTCACTAAAAGGGCATATTATTATTTTCACAATTTCACAGTATTATTCCAACCTCATAGTGTGGAAATATATGTAAAACACAGAGAAACCACGTTTTTGACTACACTGGGTCTTTAAACTAGTTTAAAGGCTGTCTGATAAAGTGGAGATGAAGGTGTGGTGGCTCAGTGAGTCACAGTGGGATGGTGTGTGGCCCCATACTGTCTGTAGGTTCCACTGGGGGACTGGAGTGCTACGCTGGGGGGCCGGGGCCGGCTCAGGGGCCTGGAGATCCCCTGTCGGAGGATGCGTAGCGGCAGCTACGTCAAGGCCATGGGGGACGTGGACCAGGACAGCGAGGATTCAGAGGGAAGTCCTAAACCCTCGCCCAAAACAGCCGCCCGCCGCCAGAGCTACCTGAAGGCCACCCATCAGTCCCTGAGCGAGCAGCAGCCTCCACCACCACACAAGTGAGAGAGCCAGACACAAGAGGAAATATGCATGTAGATCATACTGTAGTTAATACTGTTTAGATACTGTATGTCTCTGAAGAGGAGTTAATTTTCCTTAGCAATCTATGTCATGACAGAACAGATAACATGGGAAACGTATTCTTATATAGAGAAGTAGCTACACACCCCGCATGGAAACCTGTCTGCTCTGAGAGTGAATCTGAGAGTGAATCTAAAATAACTGAATGAAATTAGTGGTCACCACAAATGGACAACAGGGGGCAGCATCCTGACACTGATGTGGAACAGTTACTACAGTATGTATGCAGGGTAGAACCTGCAGGCTGCAGCAGACCCCTGTTTACATTTACATTTTAGTCATTTAGCATATCAGGAGTATATACAACTATCAGTGTAACATGTTCTTATGGCCTGTTCAATTATAGAAAAAGGAAATCACCTACCAACAACAGGTAACCAAAAGTTTCCATTTGAGGTAAAAATGTGAAATGTTTTGTCATGTTCCCCACCACCCACACCGGCAGGCCCCGCGGCTACGCACCCATGCGGGAGGATAATGGGGTACTGTGGTCTCCACTACAGAGTGCATGCTCAATGCAGCATTTGGCCAGGTCAGTGTCCTAGGGAGGGAGGCAGCACCGCCCTCCAGTCACATGCCCACCGCTGCTGCCACTTCTCTAACCAACCCAGTGCTTTGTCCTGTTCCCCTGCCCACATCCCATATATTACCAATTGCTCTGAGTGGTGTGTTAGTATCCCAGCCACTCCTGTCACGTCTCTCATCATAAGCCACTGATCCCCCATACAAACCTCTACCACCCACACCCTCCGCCCCGGCACACACATTCCCACTAACAGGTGCCTCCTCGACAGGCAACTCAGAACAGAGGAAACAATCTCTCTGTCTCAGCAGATTCCATTGATGATTACAAAGCAAAAAAATAACTCAAATTCTCTCCCTTTCATTTTGATGTTTACTGACGACTCAATGTTTCCTCTGTGCTGTCATTTTGATACCCAACTATTCTCCACTATGCTATCCTCTCATCTCGCTGGTATTTGATCTCACAAAATCACAAGAAGTTTGGGGAAGTTCAAAGCATCCGCTGAAAATGGATGCTCCGGTACCAGCGGTTCTCATCAACCCAAGATGTCATGTATCCTCCCCACCCTTCATCCAGGTCTTTTCCTCACTGTTGAGGGGTTATTTCGGCAGCTAATTCTCCCCTCTACCCCTGTAGCTGTCTCCCCTCCCTGAGAGAGCTCTCCACCAATCGGAGCCTGGACAACCTGGACTCCCTGGTGAGCCCGGGCGAGCCCCCGATGGCCATGCAGCACTGGGACGATGGCAGATACTACCACCAAGGCTATGCTACCCTGGGCAGGGCCATGATGAGCAGTGGTCAGGTATGTACTGTAAATCCACAATCTCTATTCACTCATTACACTCTTTATCAGGGTCTCAAACAGGCCTGTCAGTGTGTGGGAATAATATCCCCATACAACAAACACATCATAACAGTGTGACAGATACATGTAGGCGTAATTAACTAATAAAGGTACTACTGTATTAAATGAATTATTCATAAAGAATGCCCTCAGCCAGTGCAAAGACCTTCAGTGTTGACAAGCCTGAAACATCAACCAGAAATGAGTGGGATGTTGACAGCCGAATCCTCAATTTCTGTGACTGCAGGCAGGGATAGAACATTTCAGATTATGTGTGAGACGCTGGTTGGTTAAACATCCAGTAAGCCAGAAGAGACAAGAACAGGAATGATGCTTGAAAGTAATTTTCAGAAGTTAAGACTGGGACATGAGCCTCCTTCTAATCCTGAGGACATTCTGTTTTTATCAAAACCAGCAGACTCCTTTCAGATGGAACCTCCGGCACCACCTTTGCTCATGGAGTTAAAATGGCATAATATTACAGATGACAGCAATGGAATTCCCCTCTTTACCTCACAGGAAGCGTTTTTTTACTATCAAATCATATTTCACTAATTTAATTTGGGAGATGACAAGAAAATCTGTTTTGGGACAAAAGCAAGTATTTTCTGAATGAACTGCAACGTTTTATCAGGATTGATATCTGATGGATTACAATGGCTGCCTTAGCAGGAGAACAGGCTTCAAAGGATCTGCATTGTTGTACATGGAGGTAAATGCGCATAAAATCAAATAACGGAAAGGTTGGAACACATCGATGCCTTTTGCTTGAAGTATTTTCATTGGGTATAAAAAGGAGTACAGACATTATCAGCTTACATGCTCAAATTATAGACCGGAAAGATGGTTTCAAGATGGTAATAATCATTCCAAAACCATGATGAAAAGTATTGCAAGATTCCAAAGGATCAAATAACGGATAAGCAGCAACCAAGGAAAACGCTCTTATTTGTAAAAATAATGGAACTGGTGTGAAGTTTCATCATTTGATTTAAATAAAGTTTCAGAATGGATTTTGAATACTGAGCATCCCTGTTACATTCCCTTTCTTTATTGGGGGACACAATGATGACTATGTGCCAACTCTGGCACCAGCCTCCTCCTCCTCTCACACTGAAATGAAAAGCAGGATAAACAAACAGAGACTCCACCTGCTACCAACATCATTAAACCCTCGAACATCACAGCAGCCTGGCATAGAAGACTGGGGCGTAATAGACCATCATTGTTCCGCCTTCTCCACTCTAGCACTGTTTGAACAGTGAAACAAGCCCTTATCGCAAGGTGGACTGGTGAAGTTGACTCAGCTGGTCTGTCGCTACAATACCTTGTCCCTGTCCAGCCTATCCCTGGCCTTGGGCTATACAGCTGTACTAAAATATATTCCTGCTGGTGAATCTGCTGTTGTGGGAACATGTCATGTTATCAACGCCGGAGACTGGAAATGTCCTACACCAATAAACGTCTTGTAGATCATTAGCACCGCTGAACTGAGCAAAATCAGACACCACCACCACCACTACGACTATGATGTGGAGAGAGTAAACAGCTTGTAGTGGGAGGCTGCTGGTGCCTCAGTAGCAGTGATTGCATTAGCTCCTGGCATGAGGAGTAAAGTTAAATCTGACGCTGCTGGCTTATCATCACTGATTAAACATTCTGTGTGGTATTTCACATTAGATACAGTACAGTGAGTACACCGATTTTCAGGGGACACAACTCAAACAGAATATTGAAATAATGAGACGTAATCAACATGGTCACTTCAGTAGCTTATTTTTGATCAATTGATTTCATTAAGTAAAATCGTGAACATGCATGATAACTCCTGTACCCATTTTCCTCTAGATATAGTACAAATATCCATTATCAGTGCATGAGTTTCTTTGGTAAATCTAACAGTCCTTTTGATTGGGCTCTTGTGAGCTGAGAGAAACGGGATCCTTCACACTCTCTTACCATACACCACCACCTTACTCCAGCAGCATGCCCCGCCACCCGAGACTGGCACTGCTTTCGCCTCACAGGCGGCGGAGGTCTAGTGGTCGCCTAAGTCCCCGCCCCCAACTTGTCAACCTGCACGTGTCCTTTCAGGTGTGTGGGCAGGGCTGTGGGCGCTCGCTGTACTGCGAGGGGGAGTCCCAGGCGGTGGAGGCTCTGGACCTGCCCACGCCAACGTACTTCCGCTCCCGCAGCCACAGCTACCTGCGGGCCATCCAGGCCGGCTGCTCCCAGGATGAGGACACTGCCTCAGTGGACTCTGATTCACCACCACCCACCACCGTCGGCTGCACCTATACCTCCAGAACCAGTGAGTATACTGTACTGTTCAGGATGGGGATGGGCTGGGCACTGGGGATTGGCTAGGACAGACAAAGCTTTTATGCCTTTACTGTAGGCATAATAGTTTTGTTTGAAAGGGGCCTTATCAACCTTTTTTAGCACGATTCATGAATAATTTAGTATCTCTAAAATAAGGACTATGATGTAAGATTCCCACATGCATTGATGTATTTTCAAATCCAGCAGGGGAAATTATGAAGGGCGTGAGGGACTGTACTTCTTCCGTTGTACGGGGTATGAACTCAGTGACATGCATGCGCACACACACACACACACAGGGCAAGACAAATTTGGTCTCTGGCTGGTGGCACTGAGTGGCCTACGAGCCCAGTGTGAAAGCAGACATTGTAGAGGGAGGTGATGCGGCAAGACTGGACTCGTGCCAGCTAACTCATCCATACTCATTACACAACAGTGAGCAGATATGCTGTCTGGTGATAAATCATGGTGAGTTTGCACGCCTGGGTCTCACACACACACTACAAACACACACACTGGCACTGCTGCTGATGTCTTCCAAGTGTAGCGTGGTTCGTTCTGCACTTTTAATTAGGACACTGCCACAACTGGAGGTCTGCTGGTTGGATTATTTTTATTTGCCCTGCACACGAAGAGACAACACACAATATGTTAGCCCTTGGTGCAGTCACAGCTCTCGGGCACCTTTCTAGTTGAAGGTCAGGCAAAAGAGAGCCCAGGTGCTGCGTGCACACATTCAGTGGCCAACAGCACACTATACAATACAAGTAAAATGATATACAACATAATTCAGACAAAATAAAAGACATACCTGCACACGAGGAGACAACACACAATATGTTAGCTCTCGGGCACCTGCGTGAGCACATGAAAACTCACTCAAACACCGTCCCAAGTACTCACAAATTACAATAGGTACCATAATTAGCGAGCTCGGTGAAACTTGTTAACATAAATCTTTATATTGTCCACATTGTAATAAAACCTATAGTTGCGTAACAGCACTTTGTGTAACATTACCACAGTTCTATATTGACAAATTACGGAACCAAGGAAAACATACCTTGCTAGTTGAAGGTCAGGCAAAAGACAACAATAAGAGGGTACATAAGTACAGATAACCCGCGATGGACCAAACCAAAATATACAACACTTTTACAATCAGGTGTAGTTACAATATAGATATTTAAAAAATGTTTGTACACCAAAAAATAACATTAGCTATGCAGCTGTAATTAAATAAAGAAAACATATGTAATTATTATTATTAATTTATTAACATCCCCTCTTGACCTGGCCTACTTTAACTGGTCCTTGTGTGCAACTTGGTGCATAATCTAGGGGAACAACATCACACTACTACACAAGCGTGAGCACAACACTTATGAAATATCGAGCCAGTTCACAGATGTGGGTGGTCTCAGATAGTGGTCTGTCCACTGCTAGAGCCTGTAAACATAAGATCACATCAAAACGTTATTTGGTCCCTCAAAAACAAAAAGCCCAAAGCATGACAATCATAGGTAGAGTATTAATAAAAACACATCATTGTTTACTTTTCATTGCAATTGTTTCCCCCAAACAATCGCTGTTTTCAAGCTAAGGGCCTTGTTCGTTACCACATCAAGGCCCATGAAAATGTCAGGCGATTACAGGCGGTGGGTTAAAAGGCTAGAGGAGCCTCGGCAGAGTCTGAGCAGCATGGGAATCACTGTGTCATATGAATGCAGTCTCTTTGCAGCACAAAAGCAGCCCTTGCCCAGATGAACGTTGCCTCAGGACAGACTGTGGTGGGCTTTGAGCAGGGGCAGTGGAGTTGGTCTAGCCTGGGCTGCTTTGTGCTCTCTTCCTGAATCATGCTGAAACAAAGTGTTTGTTGGCCTACTGTTCAAAGTGGGCAGGGCACCCCCATAATTGAAATGTTCGACTATTGCTGCTGCCATTCAATTTTTTTGTAGACCAGTATGAATATTCAAAAGTGTCAATCTGAACATTAGACCATAGTAGTTCATTCAAATACATTTATAATTTGACAGCAATTATTTTGCAATCTCATAGTTTTCAGCCAATCGAAGTAACATGTTCCAATCCATCGCACATACAGTGGGGGAAAAAAGTATTTAGTCAGCCACCAATTGTGCAAGATCTCCCACTTAAAAAGATGAGAGGCCTGTAATTTTCATCATAGGTACACGTCAACTATGACAGACAAATTGAGGAGAAAAAATCCAGAAAAACACATTGTAGGATTTTTTATGAATTTATTTGCAAATTATGGTGGAAAATAAGTATTTGGTCACCTACAAACAAGCAAGATTTCTGGCTCTCACAGACCTGTAACTTCTTTAAGAGGCTCCTCTGTCCTACACTCGTTACCTGTATTAATGGCACCTGTTTGAACTTGTTATCAGTATAAAAGACACCTGTCCACAACCTCAAACAGTCACACTCCAAACTCCACTATGGCCAAGACCAAAGAGCTGTCAAAGGATACCAGAAACAAAATTGTAGACCTGCACCAGGCTGGGAAGACTGAATCTGCAATAGGTAAGCAGCTTGGTTTGAAGAAATCAACTGTGGGAGCAATTATTAGGAAATGGAAGACATACAAAACCACTGATAATCTCCCTTGATCTGGGGCTCCACGCAAGATCTCACCCCGTGGGGTCAAAATGATCACAAGAACAGTGAGCAAAAATCCCAGAACCACACGGGGGGACCTAGTGAATGACCTGCAGAGAGCTGGGACCAAAGTAACAAAGCCTACCATCAGTAACACACTTCGCCGCCAGGGACTCAAATCCTGCAGTCCCAGACGTGTCCCCCTGCTTAAGCCAGTACATGTCCAGGCCCGTCTGAAGTTTGCTAGAGTGCATTTGGATGATCCAGAAGAGGATTGGGAGAATGTCATATGGTCAGATGAAACCAAAATAGAACTTTTTGGTAAAAACTCAACTCGTCGTGTTTGGAGGACAAAGAATGCTGAGTTGCATCCAAAGAACACCATACATACTGTGAAGCATGGGGGTGGAAACATCATGCTTTGGGGCAGTTTTTCTGCAAAGGGACCAGGACGACTGATCCATGTAAAGGAAAGAATGAATGGGGCCATGTATCGTGAGATTTTGAGTGAAAACCTCCTTCCATCAGCAAGGGCATTGAAGATGAAACGTGGCTGGGTCTTTCAGCAAACACACCGCCCGGGCAACGAAGGAGTGGCTTCGTAAGAAGCATTTCAAGGTCCTGGAGTGGCCTAGCCAGTCTCCAGATCTCAACCCCATAGAAAATCTTTGGCGGGAGTTGAAAGTCCGTGTTGCCCAGCGACAGCCCCAAAACATCACTGCTCTAGAGGAGATCTGCATGGAGGAATGGGGCAAAATACCAGCAACAGTGTGTGAAAACCTTGTGAAGACTTACAGAAAACGTTTGACCTGTGTCATTGCCAACAAAGGGTGTATAACAAAGTATTGAGAAACTTTTGTTATTGACCAAATACTTATTTTCCACCATAATTTGCAAATAAATTCATAAAAAATCCTACAATGTGATTTTCTGGAGAAAAAAAAATCTCATTTTGTCTGTCATAGTTGACGTGTCCCTATGATGAAAATTACAGGCCTCTCTCATCTTTTTAAGTGGGAGAACTTGCACAATTGGTGGCTGACTAAATACTTTTTTCCCCCACTGTATTTTGCACTCTTGTGCGTTTGACTTTTCTTACAAGCACTGATTTCGCTGATATCTGCTGAGGAACGTTTTACTTGCAAATCACTGCGGTCATGGCTAGAAGGGATCCAGGTTTTGTCAAATTTACATCAGATTTGACTTTTCGTAGCAGGTATGGAGAATTTACGCAGCAGGTTATGAGAATCAGGACATGGTTAGGAAAATGGTTAGGGTGAACTAAAATGTCAAACAATTGAACTTTTGACGTTAATTTGACAAAAGCTGGATCCCTTCTAGCCATGACCAATGACCGCTCTGGATAATAAATTTTTCCTATGACCAACACGTAAATATAGAGGCGGCAATGTACACGGCCAAGCCGGGGCAAATCGTAGACACAAAAAACAGACATCGATATTATCCAATGGGCGTTAAGAAATCAGGTTCGTATACCAAAAAGGCGGGGAAACGTGACGCCCTTTGTTGACTGGAGATTTAAACCAATCCTGTTCGTCTATGGTGAGATTGATGACCATCGACATCCAATGGCGGTGTAGTGTGTGCCAGTCTCGAAAAGGTGGACTCCAATCCCTTACTTCAAGGGCGTGTCCCATTCGATTCCTTTCTTCAAGGGACGTTGTGTGAACAGTTAGAAATTGCACAGCAGCGTATGCCTCTCTCTATTAAAACAACCTCGAATGAATGAACAGAAAATACGGATTTATTGACTCGCCTTTATCAAAGTAAGCTTAAATATTGTATAATGTACTCGTGCCTGAACTGAGATTTGGATCGATTGGCATTGACCGTCGTTAGCGAACGCTAGCTAACTACCCTGGCTAACGTGGATGAGAAGAATCGCCCTGATTCTGGTAACCACGTATGGTAGGTAACGTTAGCTAGCGATGTTACACTAGGTTAGGGAGCGACATCTCCACGAGTCGTACAGATGCTTTCTTCATTCCACTGCTAGTATTCCTTTTTTGTCGTGGTAATCAGTTAGCTATCGTTATTAGCAGGTGACAGTTTGTAGCGAATAACGACGTTACAATCAATCCAGCAACAGATAATGTCTCTGGTGTAGTTAGTTAGCTAGATCAGGGTTTCCCAAACTCGGTCCTGCCCCCCACCCTGGTACACATTTGGGTTTTTGCCATAGCACTACACAGCTGATTCAAATAGCCAACTCATCATCAAACTTTGATTATTTGAACCAGCTGTGTAGTGTTAGGGCAAAAACCAAAACGTGCCTCAGGACCGAGTTTGGGAAACCCTGAGCTACGTTAGATAGCTAATGTTAGCGATGCCTGACAGGAACCGTCTTATTAAAGAGCTACTGACTGTAGCTAACGTTAGCTACCAGCACGCCAACATTAGCAAGCAGAGTGGGTAGTTAACGTTAGTTGGCTAGTAGCGCTGTCAACCACTGGTTGAATCACCAAATTAGAAATGCAGCAAGCTAGTTAGACAGGAAAGGTCAGACAGCCATCTAACGTTATTTAGGTAATGTTAGCTACCTAGCTAGCTACGTTTCCACATTTGGTGAGTTTGAAGAGAGACTGGTAAACTTCAATTACTAGTTTCATGTCAGACATTTTTCCAACAGTCAATTTTTCAGCTTCAAACTCACCAAATTGTGACCATGAAATTGATGATCATATGAGCTAGCTAGCTAGTAATATCCAGCTAACGTTAAATCCAGTGGCTACATCATCCAGCCAAGTTAGCTAAAAAGCTTGTTTAACCTACCATCTTGTTTATTCTGCAGTGTGTTTAAGTTACATCATAAGAGATATGTGTGGTTGCTAAGTAGTAAGACCTCAACATTGCCAAGGATCTACCTCCTTGCCAAATGTTTTAATGCATGCATTTGTTTGGTTTTACTGCTATGATCAAAGAGCAAGTGGATAGTTGATGATTTGTGAGCCAACCAGAAATTAAGCAAGTATGGATTGCAAGCTAGACTTCTTCAAAACAAACTGTTATAATGCATTTTCACCACTCTTCCTCAGATGTCACTTCAAAGTCCAGCAACTATTTCAGGGGCAATCCCATCTCTTGTGGTTTGTTTGTATTGCCTTTTGTGTCTAAAGGCCATTTATTGTCTGGTTACTGAGTATACAATCAATAATTGAACAGCTTCCGGCAATGTGCTCATTGAAGTGCTTTGCAGTTAGACAGCTGGACCTTTCCTGAGAGGATTGAATCTGTGCTCTGTATACTAGGGACCATGGTAGCACCCCTGACTTTGTTAAGCTTGAAAGTTGTTGTAGGGCTGGGATCAGATGGCCATTCATTCATAGGCTTCAGATAACACATGCTCAGCACATGAATACACAGACATTGAGTCACATGCTCTGGCAATACACAGTCTGACTGTACACACACTCATTGAGGTCATTGATGAGTCAGTGGGTGGAGTCACTATAGTTGCAGGAAATACTGTAATTTTCAAACAGACATTCTAAATGGATTATTAGGATGAGTAGTAAAATGACTCATTGGTGGGCTGTGCTAAAGAGAAATGAATAGAAAACAGTACAATGATGCAACCCCAGCCAGAGAGTCTGCAAGTCCTTGGTATTTGGTTTGGCAGAATCTGAATCCCTGTCGTATTCAAGTGACCAATCTGTCAGAATTGGGTCACAAGGAGGATTTCTTGAATCCATGGTGTCATAGTTCAATCTCAACAGCTCTGTCTGAGTAATCGCGACAATGTAATACCGCTCATGTAGCTGGTCACGACACACACAGCCATACAAATGAGGGTCGCCCAGTCCTACAATATGTGTTGAACACACGATTGAAAGGGGTTAGATGAAGTGTGTGTGCATGAGCAAAATATACATTCTTTCTGGTGTTGTAGAAGGATTTGCCTTTCTCTAGTAGGCTGGTACCACACTGCTCCAGTCCAATCCGAGCCCCTTCCTCATTACCCTGAATCAGTCCTGTCAGGTGTCTTTACATCGGCTAATTAGGCTTTCCACCAAGCTGGCACCAATCCCCACAGGGCGGTCTGGAAACTCCACTGGACGTCATTAGCATTTTAATACCTTCCTGGAGTAACATCACTGTGACTGACTGGACGGACCACTTCAAGCAGCCCCCAACACTCGTGCTGTAAGTGCGTAGAACTGGTTTGTTCTGAACCTGTTTTGTTATTTTTTTTTTGAGTTAAGTGATTGGACTGGTTTTGCATGGAGAGAGGCTGTATCTAGTTCTTGCACTCATAATCATAAGCTAGTATTTCCATTGGTGATTTTATTCTAACCACTCTCTTTGTAAATCTTTGCTGTATTGTGTAAGTGGTTTCCATTTCCTGTCAGTGTGTTCTCAGGCTGCCTTTTCCAGACTGCCTGCCTCCATCTCTCAGTAGCACTACTCACCAGCCCTGTCTGTCCCCTCTAGTCTCGGACCACCTGCCTAGTTCTCCAGCAGCCTGTCACCATGCCACATGGTCACTATAATGCTGTTAATCTGGGGCTGATCCAACCCTCTGCCGTGTGCAAATTAGGAACACTTAGACACTCACAGGAACACCTATTAAAGATAGGGCTGTGACGGTCATGGAATTTCGGATTACTGTTATTGGTCAGCCAAATGGTTATCGTTATACCATTTAGAATAGAATCATAATAATGCAATTAATATGAACGCAACAATTTCAAAGATTTTACTGAGTTACAGTTCATATAAGGAAATCATTACGCCCCAATCTATGGATTTCACATGACTGGGCAAGTGCGCAGCCATGGGTGGGGCTGGGAGCCAGGCACAGCCAATCAGAATACGTTTTTCCCCACAAAAGGGCTTTATTACAGACACAAATACTCCTCAATTTCATCAGCTGTCCGGGTTGCTGGTCTCCGACGATCCCGCAGGTGAAGAAGCCGGATGTGGAGGTCCTGCGCTGCTGTGGTTACCTGTGGTCTGCGGTTGTGAGGCCGGTTGGACATACTGCTAAATTCTCTAAAATGACATTGGAGGCAGCTTATGGTTAGAGAAATTAACATTAAATTCTCCGGCAACAGCTCTGGTGGACATTCCTGCAGTCAGCATGCCAATTACACGCTCCCTCAAAATCTCTGGCATTGTCTGACAAAACTGCACATTTTAGGGTGGCCTTTTATTGTCCCCAGCGCAAGGTGCCTTTGTAATGATCATGCTGTTTAATCAGCTTGTTGATATGCCACACCTGTCAGGTGGATGGATTATCTTGGCAAAGGAGAAATGCTCACTAATAGGCATGCAAACAAATATGTGCACAACATTTGAGAGAAATACGCTTTTTGTACGTATGGAACATTTCTGGGATCTTTTATTTTACATGTTTCGTTTTATATTTTTGTTCAGTATAAATTTTTTGTTGACCAAATTCGACACTCATTGATCTCATACAAAAATTATTTATTATTTTTGTGGACAGATTTTGGGCGACGTAAAACCTCCTGCTTCGCCTCTTTCTCTGTTACAAACCATGATGACAGAGAGGATTAAATGACACTGGGTCACATGATTCAGTGTCATTTATCTGGCCTCATTTTAACTGGCTGCTGGCCCATTTGGTATGAAAATATATGCACTCACTAACTGTTAATTGCTCTGGATAAGAGTGTCTGCTAAATGACTTAAATGTAAATGTCATCATATACACTGCTCAAAAAAATAAAGGGAACACTTAAACAACACAATGTAACTCCAAGTCAATCACACTTCTGTGAAAACAAACTGTCCACTTAGGAAGCAACACTGATTGACAATAAATGTCACATGCTGTTGTGCAAGTGGAATAGACAACAGGTGGAAATTATAGGCAATTAGCAAGACACTCTCAATAAAGGACTGGTTTTGCAGGTGGTGACCACAGACCACTTCTCAGTTCCTATGCTTCCTGGCTGATGTTTTGGTCACTTTTGAATGCTGGCGGTGCTTTCACTCTAGTGGTAGCATGAGACTGAGTTTACAACACACACAAGTGGCTCAGGTAGTGCAGCTCATCCAGGATGGCATATCAATGCGAGCTGTGGCAAGAAGGTTTGCTGTGTCTGTCAGCGTAGTGTCCAGAGCATGGAGGCGCTACCAGGAGAGGTGGAGGAGGCCGTAGGAGGGCAACAACCCAGCAGCAGGACCGCTACCTCCGCCTTTGTGCAAGGAGGAGCAGAAGGAGCACTGCCAGAGCCCTGCAAAATGACCTCCAGCAGGCCACAAATGTGCATGTCTGCTCAAACGGTCAGAAACAGACTCCATGAGGGTGGTATGAGGGCCCGACGTCCACAGGTGGGGGTTGTGCTTACAGCCCAACACCGTGCAGGACGTTTGGCATTTGCCAGAGAACACCAAGATTGGCAAATTTGCCACTGGCGCCATGTGCTCTTCACAGATGAAAGCAGGTTCACACTGGGCACGTGACAGACGTGACAGAGTCTGGAGACGCCGTGGAGAACGTTCTGCTGCCTGCAACATCCTCCAGCATGACCGGTTTGGCGGTGGGTCAGTCATGGTGTGGGGTTGGCATTTCTTTGGGGGGCCGCACAGCCCTCCATGTGCTCGCCAGAGGTAGCCTGACTGCCATTAGGTACCGAGATGAGATCCTCAGACCCCTTGTGAGACCATATGCTGGTGCGGTTGGCCCTGGGTTCCTCCTAATGCAAGACAATGCTAGACCTCATGTGGCTGGAGTGTGTCAGCAGTTCCTGCAAGAGGAAGGCATTGATGCTATGGACTGGCCCGCCCGTTCCCCAGATCTGAATCCAATTGAGCACATCTGGGACATCATGTCTCGTTCCATCCACCAACGCCCCATTGCACGACAGACTGTCCAGGAGTTGGTGGATGCTTTAGTCCAGGTCTGGGAGGAGATCCCTCAGGAGACCATCCGCCACCTCATCAGGAGCATGCCCAGGCGTTGTAGGGAGGTCATACAGGCACGTGGAGGCCAAACACACTACTGAGCCTCATTTTGACTTGTTTTAAGGACATTACATCAAAGTTGGATCAGCCTGTAGTGTGGTTTTCCACTTTAATTTTGAGGGTGACTCCAAATCCAGACCTCCATGGGTTGATACATTTGATTTCCATTGATCATTTTTGTGTGATTTTGTTGTCAGCACATTCAACTATGTAAAGAAAAAAGTATTTAATTAGATTATTTCATTCATTCAGATCTAGGATGTGTTATTTTAGTGTTCCCTTTTATTTTTTTGAACAGTGTATGTCTCACACACATGCTGATAGAGCTTGAGTGCGTCTTGGGGCATTCACTGCATTGCTTTTACCGAGTGATCCAATTTAGGTTAACGTGATGATCATCAACATGTTGACAGTGCTGTTACTGCTCTAATGGATGTTAAGTGCTTTCAGAGCAGGAGAAACCCCATGAGCCCCACAGAGAAAAAACCCTTTGCCTACTCTCCTAACACCTTTCGCTTTCATCAGTGCATCATGGACTGCTCCCCATCAGTTATAATCAACAATAGACTGTAAAACTACTTTGTTTCTGATTTAAAGTCCAGTTTTATAATCCCCTCATATGTATTAACATATCTTGGGCCAGATAGGTTTAGCATTGAATGCAAAGTAGAGGTGTGATTCACAGACACATTCACTAGCACTACTCATGTTATCGGATATCGAAGTGCTCAGTGTTTTCTCTGGTGAACAGGGGCATGATGTTTGTCACTTCTGATGCCAGCCCTGGATATCTGATACCATCAATGAGACCAGTGGATGGATAGTAGGGTTGGCACTGCCCCACAGGAGCAGAGGTCCCAGACAGCTTAGTTTATCTACCCCATAATCACCTCTGGGCAGTCAGCCCATGGTGAAGGGCAGGGCAAGCATGGTTCAGTAGTACAAATCACAGCAGGACTGGACAGAGCCTTTCTGCCAATAGTATTAATAATAGGCAGTTCTACAGCATTAGTGCTTAAAAACAGCACTTCCTCTGTTATTGGTGTTACTGATGGATTATGACCAGATTATGGCCTTTTCTCTGTAATTTGTTTGGTGAGGGAGTAGGCTGTCTGGACAGTGTACGCATGTTTGTGTGGTACACTAGCGAATGCGTACCAGCCTCATAGACATGGGGATCAAGATGCTTGTAGTGCTCAGAAGAACGTGACAACACGGAACACGCCACATTAATGAACTTGTCGGACTCTTGTGTGTCTATGCTGGGCATTTTGAGGAATGGGTCTCGTTCTCAGGGAATAAAGGTGTCCCTTTGTCCTCGGCTGGCGCCGGGCCCAGAGCTGAGGCGGTTGCTGCTATTAGAGCAACGTGTGAGACAGAGCTTCCCTCTGTGGCCACTGGATTCCACAGGCCTGTTTGTGTGCATTGGTGACATTTTAATGTTGGATTAAATGGAGCCACTTGTCATTTGTTGATGACCGATCTCATGTCTACACTTCCCTGTTGATATAAACAAAATATCTTGAAGGATGTTTGGTCACACTAACATTAACCTATATAGGCCAGGCATGACCTTTTTATTCATTTCCGGTGAATCAACCGTGAAATGGACCTAGACAAACCCATGTAATTACCCTGTCCTTGTATTAAAGTATGTAGGTTGTTCCCTACAGTTGCCGGTAATAGTGTTACAAACTTTTTTTTTCATTCAGCCTGTGACTGTGTGTTTAGTCATGTGTGGGAGTATGTGAATGTGGTAACTGGACCAGTCCAGTGTAATTTATTTTCTCTCTCTCGTTCTCTCTTATTTTCTTTCATAGCTTGTTCTCCATCTTTTTAAATAGGGAGCCAATTTGTTTTCAGCACTTTTATTTCCATGACTGATCAGAACTTGTTCTCATGGCTCTCTTGTCCCTCTTCAGCGGACATATGGTGAGCAATATGTTTGGAACATCGAATCACAGTATCAAATTGCAATTGATATAGAATCGTAATACTGGCAATTCCCAGCCCTAGTTTAAATGGCATCTTATTTCTTACAAAAGGGCCAACCTCTCCTATAGTTTGAATTTTTATATCTAGCAGCAGCATATGCCCTGCCTGACCCAGTTTATGGGTACTCTTTGGGGTTTTATTATGGTAATTACATCTCTGTTACACTGAGCAACCCTCCAATCAGCCACTGATGACAGGAACAGGGGCCAGGTCCACCCTCAAGCACTAGGCTAGAGTGAAATCCCTGCTCTTGAGTCAGACCTATTATTTCTCTTGTTGGTAATTCCCTCTTTGACTCCTCTTGGAAATGTTTGCAGTAAGATCAGCCCGGGGAGTGTGTCATGATTGTTTGTCAGGGCGTTATTGGTATCTCCAGGGGAAATGAGTAGGCTTATTCAGGGTTTTTTCTAGATCAAAAAGGGGCTTAAGTAGTAGGCTTGGCAGGGGTGTGGCAATGGGCACGGTTGAATTTGAGAGAATTCTACCGTGCCCATCTTTCCTGCAATTCTCGGAATTTCTCCATTGAGCCGAGATACATTTTTGCGGTTTTAAAGTTCATTCTGTGCAATTCTACACATTTTGCCATGAGCTGATAGAAAATGTTGCAGTTTTAGAGCAAATTTCCATTCTGCCATGGAGTTTTAAAGATAATTTCCTGCAATTCTATGCATTTTGCCATGGCTAATGCTGTGTTCTTTTGCTCAAACTTAATAACAAAACCAATACTGGTAAATTCATTGTCTTGGGAATTTTCAATTCCCCTGACTGTCTAGCTTTTATTTTGGTGATTGTTTGTTCTCAAAGATTCTATTATTTAAAAAAATATATATATATTTTCTACATACTTTATATCTGGTTTTAGTCATTTAAGTTTGCACTTAAAGCGTTTTTCTGTTTTTTTTGTACAGTTTGGACTTAGGCAGCCCACCCAAGGGTTTCTATGGCAGAAAATTCCATGTTATTCATTCACACTATCAAGCTATCTGCCCAGTTAATCAGGAGTCAATGATCAACGGTTCCCTGCACCAAATCCCTATATGCAACGTAATGCCCACACAAACACCTGGAATAAATGAGGTTAGGTAGAAAACAAGGCAAAGGGAAGAAAGACCATAGTTGCCTGCAGCTTACAGACTCTACTTCGTCATTACCATATTTCACGGTTAGTAACAGTCTGATTTTAAGTGTTCTGAGCCATTGGAACTATCCTGTTACTTCTTCCATAATGTTGAATGGTGTGTTTCCATTGGACACAGAATGTGTCAGACTTTCCCCACTTTATAGTCCCTTGGGAAAGATGATTGGGAGGGTAGGCAGTAGGCACTACTAGGCAGGTAAGGGACTCCCATAGGTACAGACTGACTGACGTCAATGGAACTGAAACAGCAGGTTTACAGGAAACATGGAGGTGTGTGCGTGTTAGGCATGGGAAAATATGTTTAGGAAAAGTTTGTTTTTTATTTTGCTTTAGAGCAGGCTACTCTTTTTAGTGGCATTTGATGTCAGCAACAACCTTTTAGGCCTCAGGCGGTCTTTGTGACCTGCCCTGTTCTTTTACAGCTCCATTTAGCTGTTGTGGTGGTTCAGCTGGCACAACTTTAACTTCCTGCTTTGTCCTCGTTCAGGTTTCATCTAATGGCACTTCCTTTCCTTCCTCTATCCCAGCACTCCCTAGGTGTGTAAGCAGCTCCTGTAAGAAGGCCCCACCACCGGTCCCTCCGCGCACCACCTCCAAGCCCTACATCTCTGTGACGGTGCAGAGCAGCACTGAGTCAGCCCAGGACACATACCTGGACCAACAGGACCGCCGCAGCGAGGCCAACAGCCAATCAGGACGCAGCAACTCCTCCGATAGCCTCTGCAGCCTGCGTACAGGCAGCCTGGCCAAGGGCTCTCAGCCCCGGGCCCCAGCCCCCGTCGCTGCTCCTGTCCCTGCCCCGAGGGACTACCACCCACCTCCCTCCTTCAGCACCACCACAAGTACCGGCACCCAGGTCGAGCCCCAGAATGACACTCTAAACCCAGGCCCCAGCCTCACTCCAGACCAGTCCCTAACCCTTCCAGAGCCTGTTCCCACAAAGAGGAAGCTTTCGTCTATCGGCATCCAGGTGAGCCCAGGAATCAATTTTCTAAATTGACTGGTAGTTCAGCTTTTAATGTCTGTAATGCACTGTAATCTGTAGGGAGGATGCTTAGAATGACTCATTCATTGTAATGGTTGACTCATAGGTGGACTGCGTTCAGCCAATCCAGAGAGAGGATCAACCTCCCCCCTCGACCAAGTTCCAGTCTATTGGAGTGCAAGTGGAGAACGGCAGGCCGTAAGTCAAATCCTTATCAACACAAGATCATTATCTCAATCAGCTGATCACTCAATCAGCTGTTCACAGCCAGTAATAGTCATTTATGATTTTCTAGGGATTTAACGATTCACCTATATGCATCAGTCCCGATTCAAATGTTTAAGATGCAAGTGCAGTGGTCCACAGATGCCAAACCGATGAAAATTTTAGCTTGCATTGGTCAGAAAACCGTTTCAAACATTTCAAATTGCGGGTTCACTAAAATGTTTTGCTCATATTATTTCCGAAAATACCTCAAATTTTTGGTGCCAACTGATGCGTCCTCTGTCAGTGTCGAACTGCATGTAACTGCGTTGACAGTCATTGATCTAAAAGTCATTTTGCATGCGTGCCGAATAACCCCAGGCAATATCAGTAGTCTAGTCAAACTGTGTCCAGTTTCGCCCGCTGACCGACGCGAGGTAGGTGGCCTTTTCCTGATATTTCACATCTGCATGACACCTTCAGCATTCAAATGGTAAAATGGCTTGTGTGATACAGTATTATAATAATAAATATAATATGCCATTTAGCAGATGCTTTTATCCAAAGCGACTTACAGTCATGCGTGCATACATTTTTGTGTATGGGTGGTCCCGGGGATCGAACCCACTACCTTGGCGTTACAAGCGCCGTGCTCTACCAGCTGAGCTATTAGGCTTTATTAGTTGAGTGACAACCTATGTCATTTGCTAGGTTATTGTTATCTATGCGCTGGTGAAAATGTTGTTTTACCGGAATAAAAATAAGCTACTGGAGACCAGGGGTTGGAACCGACTCAGGGAACAGAACGGAAAACCGGAACATAATTACATTTTTCCAGAACCAGGAACGAAAGTGATATATACTGTTCCGGAACAGAACTGTTTTAAAAGCATGGGAACCGGGCATTTTTTTCCCAGTTCCACAAAAAAGACAAAGTGCCTATGCAAAGCCCTCTCTCACTCAGAAACGTTGTCTGCCTGCCAGCTGAAAATCTTCACCTGTGTGTGTGTGTGTAGGTAACCTGCCCCCCGTTTTTTTTTTATTTTTTTACAATCAGTGTATATGGTCATTTTTAGATATACAGGGTTGATATTTTCATAACGAGGCACACTGCATGGCCAAAGCGAGAGAAGATATTTCCAAACAGTCAAAACCATTCAATTTTTAAGATAGGGAGTGAGATCCAAAGTTGTTGTATATATTAATTGGCTATGTCATAGCTAATTTGTAAACTAAAAAATATTGATACGTTACTAGCTAGTGCTGAGCGATTAACCAAAATTATATTTCGTTCATTTTTTTGTTGGTGCTGTGAGCGCAATGCGCACATTGCACAGCTTCTCTATAGATAAATCAGCCTGAACTGTGGGATGTTGTAGTTTCCAACCGCCCAATATTCTACATAGTTTAGCGCATAAAATGTGGGAATTAACTACAATGACCATAATCCATTGCGCATCTACTTGTCCTGTTTTTTTATTTTGTGCCTGCTGCGAAAGAGACAAGAATGCGCGTGAGGGGATATAGAGAGCAGATGTTTCTTCATGAGGTATCTCTACATGAAAATACATGATCTAAGTGATTGATAGTTGGTATTCAGCAGTCCATAAAAGTATGCCTTATTTACTTTGAAGAACTACTAAAATAGTGATTCTGTCAGACAGCATAGACAGCAGCTCTATAGAGATGAGATGATGACCTGGAATGAAATAATAGTCATCAAATGAAACAAATGTAATATACACAACAACTGAAATATTTTATTAAAGTAATGTGAATCAATTATGGTTAATAAGTGATAAGCAATAATGGGCAGTCAGTACCATGTGTTACAGCATTCAACCCAAATTATTGTCATTTATTTATTTGATAATCGAACCGAAACCAAACCGACCTCAAAAGGCACTAATCGCTCAGCACATTACTAACTCAAACACTTAATCTGCAGAAATGACAAGTTAATTAGTGGGTGCTGGTGATATCAGTACCAAAGTGGGGAGAGAGAGAAAACATAGGCAACATTGCCCCCCTCTCCCTAATCTGATAGTGGTATATGTCTAGTCTCCCTTATGGCTCAGATCAGGAGCCTACACAGTACATACACCATAGACATACATCATTTATACACACACACACACTAGGGCCGGGACGATACCAGTATCGCGATACGCGTTAGTAATGTGGCAACGAAACAAAACACGAAGAGGATTTTACTTCTTTAGGAAAACAGCCCTAATGTTGAAAACAAATATTATGTTTCCAAGCTATAGCACACAATATTTTACATACATTAGGTTCTTAAAGGACCGAAGAGTAAAGGCCGCTTCGTGTTTTCATTTTTGCCATGGAAAGAATATTGCAATACTGGTATCGTCACAGCCCTAACACACACACACACACACACACACACACAGACAGACACACACACAGATCCAGCTCAGAGAGGCCCTGCTCATGAGCTCCATCAGCAGCAGATTAGAAAGTTGAATGAAAAATGAATGCGTTTATACAACAGATGTTAGTGCATCGAATCGTATTGCATCGAACCGTAACGCATCGATTCGTTCTCTAATCAAACCGAATAGTTTCAAACTAAAACGTATCGTTCCTGTATCATATCGGAGCCCATGTATCTAGATGTGTATCGAATCATCTTGAAAGGGAAAGATGCACATCCCACATTTTCACATTGGAGACCTTGATGTTTTCAGAAACATTTCCTTCACAATCTCTAAATTTAACTGCTTCACATTTCTGTGTTTGTGCATCTCCTGCTGTGTTCAGCCGTTACTCCATCCATCCATCCATCCATCCATCCACACCCTCTGTGATCCCTGTTTCCTCCCTCCCGCCCTGGCATGGCTTCAGCCTGTTTGGTCCAGGCAGTTACCAAGGTCACTCAGCAGTCACTCTGTGAGCTAGTGCTGGCAGCAATAGCAGCGTTAGTGTAGCACCTCTCTCTCTCTCTCTCTCTCTCTCTCTCTCTCTCGGTCTGTCTCATTGATGGCCTGTTTCTCTTGTTTTGGCTACAGTGGAGGAGGCAGAGTGCTGTGAAGAATTTCCCATTTAAAAAGCCTAGTGCAGAGTAATTCCCCCTAATCACATTGGTTGGACTGTATTGCCCACTTTGTCTGTTCTCCCTATCGCTGAACGCTGTAATCCATCTGCCTTTTATCTCGTCCTGCCCCCCCCCACCTCTCTCTCTCCCTATCCATCTCTCTCTCCCTCGCCCCCCCCACCTCTCTCTCTCTCCCCTATCCATCTCTCTCTCCCTCGCCCCCCCCCACCTCTCTCTCTCCCTATCCATCTCTCTCTCCCTCGCCCCCCCCCCCACCTCTCTCTCTCTCCCGATCCATCTCTCTCTCCCTTGCCCCCCCACCTCTCTCTCTCTCCTCTCCCTCGCCCCCCCACCTCTCTCTCTCCCTATCCATCTCTCTCTTCCTCGCCCCCCCCACCTCTCTCTCTCCCTATCATCTCTCTCTCCCTCGCCCCCCACCTCTCTCTCTCTCCCTCGCCCCCCCCACCTCTCTCTCTCCCTATCCATCTCTCTCTCCATTTTCTCATCATGCTGTCTCTGCTTTTCTCTTAGCCTCTGCAGTAAAAGCAATGTCCTATATCTATCAGTCAAACTCCACTTCATAATGATGGCTTACTGTATGCCTGTTGTTGGGAGAGGAAGTCTGACCTAGAACTAATGACTTCATACAAACTGTCCTTGGGCTATGTATTAACATAGTGTGTCAGTGTTCCAGTAATCTCTAGACCACAGTAGTCAGAGATTGGGGCAGTGATTTGTGGTCGTCAGACCCCAAGGTCAACGTTTTTACATCCATAGTAAATGATCTCCGAACTGGACCAATACTAATTTGTGTGTGTGTCCATCCAGACTCAGCCGGGCCAGCAGCATGGCCTCCAGACAGAACACTGAGACAGAGCCTCAGGACTCTCAACAAGACGCCCATCCCTCAGAAAACAACGGTAGAGCCAACTGCAACAGCCAGCTGCTAGATCCTGCCCCCGCTGCCTCCAACGGTGAGGACAGCGCGGTGGCGCGGCAGCTCCCCAAACATGCCCCAGTCCCAACCAGAGCGTCCGCCTCCCTCCCAGAGAGAATGGACCCGGCCCTGGACCCCTCCTCCCTGCCCCCTCCAGACCCCAGCTTGGGGAGTGGCAATGGCAGTGCCCAGGGAGATGCAGCCCAGCCCGGCACGCCCACCTGCCTCCGGGACGGCAACTGGTTCCTCAAACTACTACAGGCTGAGACAGCACGCATGGAGGGCTGGTGTCAACAGATGGAGCAGGAGACCAAAGACAAGGACATCTCAGAGGAGGGTAAGACACTACACCATACTCACTCTAACCAGCTAAATGTATACGAGACCGTAGACTATACTCACTCTGATAGGCATAGAGGTTTTTCAAAGAATAAGAGACAGTCTATCATACTCACTCTATACATTAGACCTCTATACATTAGACAGAGATACAATCTTCTATCAGTGAATACCCTGTCAGTTCTCTGACATGTGGAATTGGTATTGAAATGATGATGTCCCTGAAGCCCTAAGACAACAGACAGTCCATACCAGCTCCTGTCTGCTGTGGAGATTGGAGAGGGCAGGACAGGCTCATTAATGCTAATAGTTAGTGGCTGACGCTGCTCATTACCTCCTTCAGTCTAATAGTACTACTGCAGACGGCCTCTTTGATCCTCCATGATCTGCCTCAGCCAGGCAGATAGATAATATACCTCTGTGTCAGGCAGATAGATAATACAGTGGGGAGAACAAGTATTTGATACACTGCCGATTTTGCAGGTTTTCCTACTTACAAAGCATGTAGAGGTCTGTAATTTTTATCATAGGTACACTTCAACTGTGAGAGACGGAATCTAAAACAAAAATCCAGAAAATCACATTGTATGAATTTTAAGTAATTAATTTGCATTTTATTGCATGACATAAGTATTTGATCACCTACCAACCAGTAAGAATTCCGGCTCTCACAGACCTGTTAGTTTTTCTTTAAGAAGCCCTCCTGTTCTCCACTCATTACCTGTATTAACTGCACCTGTTTGAACTCGTTACCTGTATAAAAGACACCTGTCCACACACTCAATCAAACAGACTCCAACCTCTCCACAATGGCCAAGACCGGAGAGCTGTGTAAGGACATCAGGGATAAAATTGTAGACCTGCACAAGGCTGGGATGGGCTACAGGACAATAGGCAAGCAGCTTGGTGAGAAGGCAACAACTGTTGGCGCAATTATTAGAAAATGGAAGAAGTTCAAGAGGACGGTCAATCACCCTCGGTCTGGGGCTCCATGCAAGATCTCACCTCGTGGGGCATCAATGATCGTGAGGAAGGTGAGGGATCAGCCCAGAACTACACGGCAGGACCTGGTCAATGACCTGAAGAGAGCTGGGACCACAGTCTCAAAGAAAACCATTAGTAACACACTACGCCGTCATGGATTAAAATCCTGCAGCGCACGCAAGGTCCCCCTGCTCAAGCCAGCGCATGTCCAGGCCCATCTGAAGTTTGCCAATGACCATCTGGATGATCCAGAGGAGGAATGGGAGAAGGTCATGTGGTCTGATGAGACAAAAATATACATTTACATTTTAGTCATTTAGCAGACGCTCTTATCCAGAGCGACTTACAGTTAGTGAATACATTCTTATTTTATTTTTTATACTGGCCCCCCGTGGGAATCGAAACAACAACCCTGGCGTTGCAAACGCCATGCTCTATCAACTGAGCTACATCCCTGCCGGCCATTCCCTCCCCTACCCTGGACGACGCTGGGCCAATTGTGCGCCGCCCATGAGTCTCCCGGTCGCGGCCGGCTGCGACAGAGCCTGGATTCGAACCAGGATCTCTAGTGGCACAGTTAGCACTGCGATGCAGTGCCTTAGACCACTGCGCCACTCAGGAGTTAGCTTTTTGGTCTAAACTCCACTCGCCTTGTTTGGAGGAAGAAGAAGGATGAGTACAACCCCAAGAACACCATCCCAACCGTGAAGCATGGAGGTGGAAACATCATTCTTTGGGGATGCTTTTCTGCAAAGGGGACAGGACGACTGCACCACATTGAGGGGAGGATGGATGGGGCCATGTATCGCGAGATCTTGGCCAACAACCTCCTTCCCTCAGTAAGAGCATTGAAGATGGGTCGTGGCTGGGTCTTCCAGCATGACAACGATCCGAAACACACAGCCAGGGCAACTAAGGGTGGCTCCGTAAGAAGCATCTCAAGGTCCTGGAGTGGCCTAGCCAGTCTCCAGACCTGAACCCAATAGAAAATCTTTGGAGGGAGCTGAAAGTCCGTATTGCCCAGCGACAGCCCCGAAACCTGAAGGATCTGGAGAAGGTCTGTATGGAGGAGTGGGCCAAAATCCCTGCTGCAGTGTGTGCAAACCTGGTCAAGACCTACAGGAAACGTATGATCTCTGTAATTGCAAGCCGGTTTCTGTACCAAATATTAAGTTCTGCTTTTCTGATGTATCCAATACTTATGTCATGCAATAAAATGCAAATTAATTACTTAAAAATCATACAATGTGATTTTCTGGATTTTTGTTTTAGATTCCGTCTCTCACAGTTGAAGTGTACCTATGATAAAAATTACAGACCTCTACATGCTTTGTAAGTAGGAAAACCTGCAAAATCGGCAGTGTATCAAATACTTGTTATCCCCACTGTATACCTCTCTGTCAGGCAGATTTTTATTTATTTTTATTTTACTTTTATTTAACTAGGCAAGTCAGTTAAGAACAAATTCTTATTTACAATGACGGCCTACACCGGCCAAACCCAGACGACGCTGGGCCAATTGTGAGCCGCCCTATGGGACTCCCAATCACGGCCGGTTGTGATACAGCCTGGAATCGAACTGGAGGTCTGTAGTGACGCCTCAGGCACTGAGCTGCAGTGCCTTAGACTGCTGCGCCACTCGGTAGATAATATACCTCTGTGTCAGGCAGATGGATAATATACCTCTGTGTCAGGCAGATAGATAATATACCTCTGTGTCAGGCAGATAGATAATATACCTCTGTGTCAGGCAGATAGATAATATACCTCTGTGTCAGGCAGATAGATAACAGGGGCGGCAGGTAGACTGGCGGGTAGGAGCGTTGGGCCAGTAACCGAAAGGTTGCCGGATCGAATCCCAGAGCTGACAAGGTAGAAATCTGCCATTCTACCCCTGAGCAAGGCAGTTAACCCACTGTTCCCCGGGCGCTGATGACGTGGATGTCGATTTAAGGCAGCCCCACGCACCTCTCTGATTCAGAGGGGTTGGGTTTTAATGCATTGTTGTACAACTGACTAGGTATCCATCTTTCCCTAATATAACTCTGTATCAGGCAGATGGATAATATACCTCTTTATCAGGCAGATGGATAATATACCTCTGCATTGCAGTTAATGAATGTGTAATGAACAGGATTGACTCCCACATCAGGTTATTCCTCAGCAGACCTGTATTGTATGAATTTATGCAAATGTTAGTACCGAAATAAAACAGTGTATAAAAAGTATTTTTTATAACCTTTGGGGAAAAAATATTAGTCATTTATTTTAAGGATGAAGTGTGTCACCAGCAGTGTAATGAAAATAGTAATTAAGGACAAAAAATATCAGATACATGCCACATAACCATACAATTTTTAGGGCATTTTATATTGCCATTAAAAAATATTGTGCTCTATGCCCATTTAAAGAACCTGCATGTTGTTGTGATGGCTGACTGGTTGTTGTTATCTGTGTGTAGTGATGGGGACAGTCCGCAGTGCAGTGGGCAGTGCCCAGCTCCTCATAGCCCAGAAGTTCCAGCAGTTCAGAGGACTCTGTGATGAGAACCTGGTGAGTAGCACTAACCCTACAAATGCCCTGTTCATCTGACATATTTCAATGCACCTTTTTCAGTCTCAGCATGCAAAGGTTGTTGTTTTAGAGCTCCCCCTGGTGTCAAAATACATGCATACCAAAGGGAGGCATACTTTATCTAAGCAATGATACAACACACACCATCCATCTCTGTAACGAATGGCTAATATTGGTGTTAAATCTGTATTTTTACTGTTTCACTTCCTGAAAGTGAGCCAAGGCTGGAAAGGACTGAATAATGTTATGTAATGTCAGTGTGTCTAGACAAGCCAACCAGCACTGTCCTTCCTGTCACATCCTGTCTGTTAGAATGTGAACGCCAACCCTCGGCCCACAGCCCAGGATCTGGCGGGGTTCTGGGACCTACTGCAGCTCTCTGTAGAGGACATCAGTGTCAAGTTTGACGAGCTCTGGCAACTCAAGGCCAACAACTGGCAGCTGCCAGAGAAGAAGGTATCGGAATCGCACCACATTTCACCTCAATAGATCCTGATTACTTGTGTTATTATCATCCAAACAGATTCTTTTTTTTATTCAACTTTCTATTTAATAAAACAAAAGACACATGGGTTTGCATCCAACAATTCCCACATTTCTCTTCATCCTAATCTCTCTCTCATTCTCAGGAGGAGAAGAAGCCTGTGCCCCCCTCTGTGCCAAAGAAGATGTCCAAGCCCAAGCTGACCCCTGGGAAAGACCGGAGCGTGGACTCTGTGGTGGACAAGCAGCGGCAGGAGGCCAGGAAACGCCTGATGGCGGCCAAACGCGCGGCGTCAGTACGACAGAACTCTGCCACGGAAAGCTCAGACAGCATTGAGATTTACGTCCCCGAGGCCCAGACACGCCTCTGAGAACAGACCGCCACCGGCACCCTGCTCCCCCATGAAGGAACAGCGCCTCTCACTCACATATACACACACACACACTCTAGCTAACACACACACTGCTCCCCATGAAGGAACAGCCTCACACATGCACTAGACACACCCAGGGGCACAGAGCCCTGTCCCCTAATGGCAGCGCAGCATACGATAGGAGTAGAACCCAGGAGAGCACAGGCATGCTAAAAATACAGAACAATGCAAAACCACTTCCTTCCTGGCTGCCATGGAGACGGAGACCTCAACAGACATTTAATACTATTGTTATTACTATTAATATTATAATTATTATTATCTCCTCCTGAAATACATCAAGACTGTCTTAAATGTGCATCTTGGATAAAAGGACATCCTTATTCCGTGTGAGCTGAAGAATCTTGGTATCCCAGAAGTTTACTCTCTTCTCACCCCCTCACTTCTTCTGAGTCTGCGAGATGGGCTTGGGCTAGTCCAGGCAGCCTCTCTCGTTTACAAGCTACATACCACACACACTCAGGATACACACAGGTGTACTCACTCACTGTCCACACAGTCTTCCTATTCTATCTTTGTATTAGGCTGCCACTCCATTGGTTGTGGACGGTTAGCTTTACTGTGTATGGAATCTATATGAGATGATGGTGTTGTCGTGTACTGAGGAAGACCGTAGCATTCTATCTATCTCAAACTGGTTACCATAATAGTTTTGTAAATGTTCTTTACCAGATTGTTTGTTAGACAAGGTCTAGTGTTCAGTACTAAGGTAGTTTTTTTTTTATAGACCAAGTACATGTACTGTCATGATGATATTCGCACATGATGCAATCATATTCTCTCACTCTCTCTCTCATAAACACACACTATGTTGTCTGTCAGTGTCTGTGCAGACATGTTTTAAGTCTTCTATGCCCTTTTGAGGGAAGACAAGAGATATTTCCATGGCCAGTTGATGTGCGCTATGGTAGGAATGTTAAATGCATTGAAAATAACTTGACTGCACCTTCCATGCCAACTGTTTACCTGTTTAACTGTTTACTTTACCCATATTTGTTGCAGGGGACCATGAGGTATCATGCACCACTTAATTACAACATTCCCTGTTTCCCACTCAACCTCCAGTACATTTGAATCAGAAAGAGGAATCAACTATAAGCTCTCCTTTTTGCCTGATTACCAAGACTGGTTTATTTTCAGCTGCATAGGCCAGAGCTCTGCCAGTGGTTATAGTATAAGCAATAAGTAAAATGGGATGATTCTGATGCCCAGTCAAAAAGCAACAACCCCTAGCCCATATACTTTCAGTGTTTTCAGATCTGAAGTCATAGGTGAAAGTCCAACAATATGTGATGAGTCCGCCTTATCTTACAATGTTCCATGAGGAGCTTCAACTATTGTGCTTCCTCCTGTCTAATGCTTAGGCTATGAGCTGTTTTCTGACTGGGCTGAGTTTTCTCATGGTGAGCGCTCAGTCACTTACCAAGCCAACAGTCAAACCATAACAGCACTTTGGTCATCATACACCATTAATAACCACTACTTGATTGGTCAATGCCATACATTATAAACTAAGAAATGGATTTGCATAAGTATGACTTATCTGTGCGTTGAAAAGGTCTAAGAATCAAAATATTGGTGTTTCTAGTCAAGTACCATTCCTGTTTTGTTGACATGTTTCAGACTATGCTCAAGCTGAATTAATGTACTCTCATTATGGTGTCTGGCTGTCAGTTTGACCTCTCATTCCTGTGTACAGACAGAGGCACATTGTGGAGATTATTTTTTAAACATTTTGTATGAGACATTTTCTGTGACCGGTTTGAATTGATCATGCAGTCAGCCAAAACTCACTAGACTGTTTTGACCTGTGCCACAAAGGTTATATTGGTATTTTTCTGGATTTAGAGAGAATTGATGGTGCTGTACAGGATTGGCCATTGTACTGAGATGGTGTGGAGTTTGAATCCCTTCCAAGAGAAACGTTTCAACATCACTGAAAAAGAGGCTTATTCACGCTATCACACTACAGCGTACATGAATATGAGCTTTCAGCTTTGCATTTCTCGTAACATGAAAGTCATTTTTCTCATTCGCTGAATTCCAAATCAACCCTCTAGCCTAGGCACTCCTGTTAGATCTGAAATGATTGGATAGGTGTGGAGAATTCCACCCAGTCTGTCAGAAGCAAAGAACCTCTGATCAGAAGGCAAAGTGACGCAATTAAGTTATTGCATGAAGCTATGCGAGGGATTTATTTGGAATTTTGAAATAGATTATCTGCAATTTCAGGATCTCAGTGCTACTTGTCCCCTTGAAGAGCTGGCTCTCCTCCTAAATGGCTAACACCTGTGCCACAACAAGGCTGCCGTCAAAGTGCTCATGTGATCCACAGTCAGTTTTGTATTTTTAGCTCATAATGTAAAATAGGAGGATTAGTAGAACTGGGAAAGCAGCTGATGCAGGAGCACCAGTATGTTAATTATTGTTTGTTTATTTGTAATACATCAAATACGGACGTGTACATTTCATTGTCCAAATAAATCATTAAACATCCCTTTGTTACATCTCCTTGTCACCATCATTATTATACTCATTGCTATATGTAATATTAGCTGAGATGTTAATATTACAGATTATAAAATCGCTCTCTTCAATGATATTTAGCTGTATGTTATACCCTAAAAGCATGAACTATCTCTCTTTGAATGGCCTTCCTCATAGCTCAGAACAAGAGTCATGCAAAGATCCTATTGAGATCACAGTACCAATCACAATTTGTCTGTCAGGGGATGGAGACTAGGCTGTATTCTGTCTCATGTCATTCAGGGTTGGTGAATTGGTCTCAGATTTCTTGTTCTCATCTTCAATCACACAGTCAGAAGTGTTAAAGACGGATCTCTGCATGGCACTGGCATAGCATCTAGAATCTAGATCTGAACCTAGATTAGAACATTGTTTCCTTCAGATTCAGGAGCCTGGAAGAATGGACCTTTTATTCCCCCAGTACTTCAAGAGAACATGGCTTGATCAGGGATATATACAGTATGTTTTGTGTTATAAAGGGCTATAATGGGCATATGAAGGGGCAACCCCTGATGTCATATACCCTGTTGAGACAGTGACTTTGGACAATACAAAACACTTCAGCCATCTGGCTTGGATTTTTTGAACTGATGGTCTGGATTGTATCAATAATGTCAAAAACATTTTGCCATGGATCTCTTTCAGGGTAATGATGGGACACTAAATAAATTCCCTGATGAACTTTTCTATGGTAGTAACACCCTATAATCTCACTTACCTGACTGTAGATATACCTCCTTAGACTTGTCACTGGTGATTACACCATCCCCATTAACCAACTCCTCTTTGAGAGATGCATAAACAAATTAGATAGAGGGCCATTTAGAAACTACTAGTCATTATTTTACAAATCAAGCACATATTCTATTCTACTGATATGGGGTTGTTCATATGTTATGGTATACTAGTTCTTTTGAAAGAATAAAGAATTGTGATTACCAATAAAATGACCTATTCATTTTCAGTGTGTGAATACAGTTGAGTAAGGAAAACAATGTACAGTAACAATAAAATGAATAGCAAAACGTATCATAGCGCTCCACCTACTGGCTTCTAGATGGTAGGCCTAATTGACCTCAGACAAAAAAACACACCCAATTAGAAAATGAAAGGCTATTTTCTTATTTTAGATATACGAATAAAATGTATGTGTGACATAAAACAGAGCGTTGCTCATTCCTGAATGGAGACCATAATATCATATTACTCGTGTGTGCGTCGTCAGTGCGCATATTGATTCCCTTCCTGCAGACGCCGGGGGGCGGGGCCAACATTAAAAGAGGATGAAGAACATTTCGGAGCGAACTGATGAAAAACTGTACTGATTACAAAGTGACTCACCAAAGAGATAACGTTAGCTACATTTGTGTTGACTCACCTGTCGTCGTTTTGGTAAGTGCTGCTGAATGCTATCTGTCGTGCATAGGTGAATAGCTATGTTGTTGCATAGTATGAAGTTGCAGTGAAAATAAAGCTAAGACCTCAAGTTATTGTATAGAACAAGCGTGTGTCATAGCTATGAACATGTAAACAAACTAACCAACCGGTCAATTTCTTCAGATGTAAAGGGGGATTCATTATGTTTAGCTAGCTAACTTTAGCTACATAGCTTTAGCACTGTAACAGTTGGCATATAGGCTAACGTTAACTAGCTAGCTAAACTGCTTGTGAAATACACTGCATGGTCAAAAGTATGTGGACACCTGCTCGTCGAACATCTCATTACAAAATCCTGGCTATTAATATGGAGTTGGTCCCGCCTTTGCTGCTATAACAGCCTCCACTCTTCTGGAAAGGCTTTCCACTAGATGTTGGAACATTGCTGCAGGGACTTGCTTCCATTCAGTAACAACAGCATTAGTGAGGTCGGCCACTGATGTTGGGCGATTAGGCCTGGCTCGCAGTCGGCGTTCCAATTCATCCCAAAGGTGTTCGATGGGGTTGAGGTCAGGGCTCTGTGCAGGCCAGTCAAGTTCTTCCACACCGATCTCGACAAACCATTTCTGTATGGTCCTCACTTAGTGCACGGAGGTATTGTCATGCTGAAACAGGAAAGGGCCTTCCCCAAACTGTTGCCACAAAGTTGGAAGCACAGAATCATCTAGAATGTCATTGTATGCTGTAGCGTTAAGATTTCCCTTCACTGGAACTAAGGGGCCTAGCCCGAACCTTGAAAAACAGCCCCAGACCATTATTCCTCCTCCACCGAATTTTACAGTTGGCACTATGCATTCGGGCATTTAGCGTTCTCCTGGCATCCGCAAAAACCCAGATTCGTCCATCAGACTGCCAGATGGTGAAGTGTGATTCATCACTCCAGAGAACGTGTTTCCACTGCTCCAGAGTCCAATTGCGGCGAGCCTTACGCCACTCCAGCCGACGCTTGGCATTGCGCATGGTGATCGTAGGCTTGTGTGCGGCTGCTCGGCAATGGAAACCCATTTCATGAAGCTCCTTACGAACAGTTATTGTGCAGACTTTGCTTCCAGAGGCAGTTTGGAACTCGGTAGTGAGTGTTGCAACCGAGGACAGAAGATTTTTACGCCCTTCAGCACTCGGCAGTCCCGTTGTGTGAGCTTGTGTGGCCTACCACTTCGCGGCAGAGCCGTTGTTGCTCTTAGACATTTCGACTTCACAATAACAGCACTTACAGTTGACCAGGGCAGAAATTTGACGAACTGACTTGTTGCTAAGGTGGCATCCTATGACAGTGCCACGTTGAAAGTCAATGAGCTTTTCAGTAAGGCCATTCTACTGCCAATGTTTGTCTATGGAGATTGCATTGCAGTGGGCTCGATTTCATACACCTGTCAGCAAGGGGTGTGGCTGAAATAGCCGAATCGACTAATTTGAGGGGTGTCCACATACTTTTGACCATGTAGTGTATATCTACTCAGCTAGCTAGCTATGATTGTCTGAAAGTAAACAAATGAATGAATGTGGGAAGATGGACTAAACGACTAGCTAGCTAGATGCTGATGTAGAGACTTCTCACGTAATTACATTTTACCTAGAAGTTTGAGATGTTTAACGTTACTGATCTTTTACAAGCCTTGTCAGCCAAGTGTTCTCATCTCTGTCCGTTACTAAAGCATACTGTACTCTCCCAGTGTACCATTGTTTAAGAAAGTAAAACCCTCAACATTGACTTTATCTGTAGAGTCCTCTGCAGAGAGTTGATGATGACCTCACTCAGCTAGAGTGACCTGACCTCCCAGTCCCAGAGCGTCCCCAGCCAGGCGACCCAGCCGTGACAGAACCAGTCATTGGACAGCACAGTAATATAATAAATATGCCATTTAGCAGATGCTTTTCTCCAAAGTGACTCATGCGTGCATACATTTTACGTATGGGTGGTCCCACAGTGACAGTGTTCAATTTCTACTAGCATCATGGCTGCCAGCCAGCAGAAAGGCACCGCAGTGCTGGAAACCTCAACAGAGGGGAAGAGAACAGAGCTCCGGGCCAATGAAGTACAGAAGAAATGCTGTAAGTAGTGTGTGTCTGTGTCTTCCAGTACCATGTTCCAGTCTGGTCCCTTTCCTGTGTTAACCCAATTAGGTTAAATGTGAACTCATTGCCAGATGCATCAATCTGATCTTTGGGTATTCATTGTAAGCTGTCTTCCTCTGAATGCATAACCATTCAAACCTTTTTCGTCACGACATAATGCAATTGCGTTGATTTAAGTGCATTGAATTGGTCTTGGGCTGCAGTGCAAATTTGACATTTAGAAATGAACACGAAGTGCCCTTTTTCAAGAAGTAATCAGTTCTGTTTTTTGCCTCGCTGGCTTAACAAAAGGCGAAAACAGGTGCTTGTGCGATCGTGTGTCACTTCCCTCCCTCCCCTGTGATGCAACGTGACACTAGGCATCTCTTGTCTCCCTACCTGCCTCTATAGTGTGTGAAAGGTGCTCGATAGATAGATATTAACTGCCGAAATAAAGGAAACACCAACAAAGTGTCTTAACAGGGCGTTGGGCCACCACGAGCCGCCAGAACAGCATCATTGCGCCTTGGCATAGATTCTACAAGTGTCTGGAACTCTATTTGAGGGATGCCACACCATTCTTGATGGGATGTTAATTGTGTGATTAACTCAGGAACCACACCTGTGTGGAAGCACCTGCTTTCAATGTACTTGTATCCCTGATTTACTCAAGGGTTTCCATTATTTTGGCAGTTACCTGTAGATTATATGTGATGTGTGCAGTCATTAGTGAGTGTGTTTTGGCAATAACAAAATGTCACCCCCAGTTAAATAAGTCTGGCATTAACTTGCCAGTCCATTCCATTCTGTAGAATCTGTAATCAGGAACTGGAGACTCATACCTCATACTCACATTCACACAAACACATCCATTGGCTGCTCGATAACATCTAGATTTTTAAACCGCCTTGCTGGTTCTAGAAATGTAACATGTGAACGTCACGCATGGCCTTGTTAAGCATAGCAAGGGTTTGTTTGCAATGGACTGAGGATGGGTGTTGGTGGGCTTTCTTGAATCTACTGTAACATACTAAAGAAGAGAGACAATAACCCTCCTCATAACACCAGGCTTTATTTTTACTTTTCTGGGCAAGGATGTAACAGTGTCTGTGGACAGCAGCTATTAGTGATAACATCTAAATGAAAAAAACAAACAAAGGAATAACTGAAGATAGATAAACTCTCAACATATTGGCCTTTTGAACAATTATTAAAAATAATGGAGTTACTGTCATTGTGTATACCTTGGCCTACATTCTATTGGCATTTCAAAGTAAGATGTTTGGTTGTGAGTGATGTTTCTCTGTCTGTGTGAACAGCATGGGCCTCTTATATGACCAACTCCCCCACTGTGATTGTGATGATTGGTCTTCCTGCCAGAGGGAAAACCTACATGTCCAAGAAGCTGACCCGCTACCTCAACTGGATAGGAGTGCCAACCAAGGGTTAGTAGAGCGCACAGGAGGTTGGTGGCACCTTAATTGGGGAGGACAGACTTGTGGTAATGGCTGGAGCAGAATGAGTAGAATGGTATCAAATACATCAAACACATGGTTTCCATGTGTTTGATTCCATTAGCTCTGTTCCAGCCATTACTATGAGCCGTCCTCCCCTCAGCAGCCTCCACTGGTATAGAGGCATCAATGTATGTACTATACTATATTTACATTTATTCCAGAACCGTCCAACCGGAAGATAAACATTGAAGCCACACCTTCCTCAGTCTTCATATCACTGTATTCAATCCAAACATAATCCTCTATACCAGTGGTTTTCAACCGGTGTGTTGCGAGGAACTCTCCGGTTTGGAACACTCACTTAGAAATGTGACAGATAATACATCTGTATCGTTGTTTCAAGGCCAGTGCGCTCAGGCTGTTACAGGCTTATACATTTTGTATAATTTGAGGGGCGTGCATCACGAGCAAAGTCATTTGTATCATTTTACTTTGCCTGTGAGAACCATTAGCACAGGCAAGTCTGACTAGGCTTAATTTTACCACAGCCTCTGGCATAGAAACAAACGGAGCATGGCTTTGTGTCCGTGGTTGCACCTTCACAATGCAGAAAACCGCTTGTCTCTAGCCCAAACTGTTTAAAACTAAATGCCTGTTTTAATGCGCTTTAAAGGGGTACACACAAATTAATCATCATGAGTAAGGGACTATGAAAATAGTTCAAATAAACCCTATTTAATCTATTAAAGATGTTTGTCACGGGATATGGATGATTTGCAGTATGGATCAGATGAGATGGAGGTCATTACCACTAAATAAATTAATAGGGATATTTGAGGTGTGCCGCAGGATTGTTTTACCCCATCAAGGTGTGCCACGGTTCACCACTGCTCTATACGATGTGGAAATGAATTTATTTGTGTAGTCCACTAATCATAGGGTTTATTTTGTGTAGAAATATTTATAGTGAAGGATGTCGTTGAACTGTGATGCTGCAGAACCTGTTTGTCTTCCTTCCACAGTTCAGTAGAATGTCACATGATTTACAAGAACATGTCGTGCCTTTCCTCACCTGTGGCTTATGATGATGGTCCTGTATTGTGTTGCAGTGTTCAATCTGGGGGTCTACAGGCGAGAGGCTGTAAAAGCCTACAAATCCTATGACTTCTTCAGACATGACAATGAGGAGGCCATGGAAATCAGAAAGTGAGTGCTCCTCCTCCCCTCAGTGTTTTTGGACCTGTGGCAGAATAATTTGGTTGTTTTGATGAGTTAAACAGTATTGCAGTAACCCTTTTTTCTAGAATATGCCCTCCCATGTTTTCGCAGCCCCAGGCAGGTGTTTTCTGTATTTACAAAACCTGCTGAGGTTTACAAGGCCCCCAACTAGATTTAAACAATTCATGTAATTACATTTTATGTAGTGAGCATAGTTAGTCACCTGGCAGCCTGTCATTTTCCTAGTCTCTCATTTTAGTGCTGGCTGCTAGACCAACAGTTATAATACTTGTCATAAGTGTTATATGAACCCTATAATATATTATTATAAGGCTTGTAGTATGTTATGTATTTCTATGCTGTACATTTTAACAGATTGAACATAAATGTTACTAAGACGTAATGGGGTCATCATACATGGTCTTACAATGCATTATAGCCACATAGTGCATTATATCTGGCGGCTTTAAGTGAAGTGTTACAGATTTTCATTAAAATTGTTGTTGATGTGGATTATTGAAGTGGGTCACTGTGTTCCTACAGGCAGTGTGCTCTGGTGGCTCTGCAGGATGTCAAAACATATCTGACTGAGGAGGGGGGCCAGATCGCTGTGAGGATCTACTGTTTGCTCTTTCTGTTGTTTTGAGTAATTGGAGATAAAATAGTGATATAAAACTGAAAAGACAAGCTTAATTTGAGATATCAGTGAGATGTGATTTATTTATTTTACGTGTTTACTGTTATGCCTTTCAGGTCTTTGATGCCACAAACACCACCCGAGAGAGGAGAGAATTAATCCTTAGTTTTGCAAAGGAACATGCTTACAAGGTAAGTGTCATGTCATGCATGTTACAAGGGTTAGGTATAGAAACTATTCTCAATTGTTATTGTCAATGGTTTGGTGAAGTGTGTCTTCATAGATTGGTCTCTTTTGCAGGTGTTTTTTGTGGAGTCATTGTGCGACGACCCTGATGTCATTGCTGCTAATGTTATGGTAAATTAACTTGCATGTTAAAAAACATGAGTACTACTTCTCGTTAAAACATTCTCTAATAATCTTCAAGATATTTCCACACTTTAAGTATTGTGCACCTCCCTCTCTCCTCCCCAGGATGTGAAGGTGTCCAGTCCAGACTACCCAGAGAGACACAGAGAGAGTGTGATGGAGGACTTCCTGAAGAGAATAGAATGCTATAAAGTCACCTACCAACCATTAGACCCAGATGAAAATGACAGGTTAGACATTCTCCTGAGTTCTCTCTTTTAAATGGTTAATTGATTCATCTTGTCAGTCATGCATTTTATATTTAAAAACCTTTATCAAGAGTTCCAGTTTGTCCAGTAGGCGGAGACAACGCGCAAAGTTGACAAAGGCTGTTTTTCAGTTATGGCCTGCTTGGTGGCGACATTGACTCATCATCATGTCATTGGTCTGATTTCCAATTCTGATTCTCCTGACAGAAAACCGTTTCTTCTTTGTTGGTCATTATTGCTATTCCACCATAGTATTTTTAGATCATATGAAGTCCCTTATAAAACAAGGGACTTCATATGATTTTGTGGCAGGAGAGCGGTTTGGTATGTTTCAAATATTTATTTTTAGCTAAATGTAATCTGCCTCAAATTAATCATTTTTCAATCATTATCTTTTTTTTTTTTTTTTATGCTACTTTTAGCCCCTTTTTCTCCCCAATTTCGGGATATCCAATTGGTAGTTAGTCTTGTCCCATCGCTGCAACTCCCGTACGGGCTCGGGAGAGGCGAAGGTTGAGAGCCATGCGTCCTCCGAAACACGACCCTGCCAAGCCGCACTGCTTCTTGACACACTGCTACCTTAACCCGGAAGCCAGCCGCAGCAATGTGTCAGAGGAAACACCGTACAGCTGGCGATCGAAGTCAGCGTGCATGCGCCCGGCCGCCACAAGGAGTCGCTAGAGTGCGATGGGACAAGAACAACCCAGCCGGCCAAACCCTCCCCTAACCCGGACGACGCTGGGCCAATTGTGCGCCGCCTCATGGGTCTCCTGGTCGCGGCCGGCTGCGACACAGCCCGGGATCAAACACGGATCTGTAGTGACGCCTCAAGCACTGCGATGCAGTGCCTTAGACCGCTGCGCCACTCGGGAGAATTCTGTTCATGCTCACCTTCCTACTTTTCCTCAATCACCTCCTAACACGCTATTAGAAGGGATCTTGTCACCCCCGCAGATTCGGAGAGGTCTCATTTCGAGACTATACAATGTTATTATAATTGACATTTTTATTGAACCTTTATTTAACCAGGCAAGTCAATTAAGAACATTCTTATTTACAATGACGGCCTGGCAAAAGGCCTCCTGAGGGGACGGGGGATAAAATAGAATAGAAACTGACAACACAGACAAGACACTGGCAACAGAGCAAATACAGCAGCAAACAAACAGTGGGTGGATGTGGTGTGTGTGTGTGTGTGTGTGTGTGCGTGCGTGCAGGCAGGCGTGTGAAGTAAAACAACTCCCTTCCTTACGTAAGGCAACGCAAACTAGAAACATGTCTCAACCTGTTCATCTATTTGTAATTTGAACTCTTCCAGGGACACCAGGTCCTGGAGTTTTAGGTTGGCTTGAAGGGACCTAATGAAAGGACCTTTTTCCATGCTCGGTTAAACATTTTGGGACTCTTAGCATAAAACAAGATTGGGATCTGAGCTTGTATATGTTTTCATTTCAAGCTAGAAGAGAGGGTAGATAAAATGGCAGTTTTCCTAAAATGGCCTTATAAATAAGAATGTATCAGTGTTTGAGCCTGCGTGTTGCTAGTGATGTCCACCCGACACCACTGTAGAGATCACAATGGGGAGTTAGACGTCTCTGATTGGTGACAAAATGAAGGGCTTCATGATACAGAGTCAAGAGCCTTCAGTGTAGAGCTTGATGCTTGCACATAAATAGTATCACCATGGTCCAATACAGACAGAAAAGTACAATGTATCAACTATTTTCTGGCGACAAAGGAAAGCTTTGTGTAATAAAACCCAATACACAGCTTGAGTTTCCTGACAAGGTTTTCTACATGGGTGGTCGTTTTAGAGGAATTCAGATCAAGCTTCAAATTGTACAGATTCTGTTGAATGATGTTAAAAGCTGTCATAGCTTTTTCAAAAGCCGAAGTCAAACTGCTGCCACTTGAATAGAGAACAGTGTCATCCGCATAAAAATTTACATTGTCTCCCAATGTTGTTGATATAAACAACAGGGGACCTAAAGTTGATCCTTGAGGCACACCCGAGCACAACTCTACAGTGTCCAACTTACAACCATCTGCCTTAACACACTGGGTTCCATTTGACAGGTAGTTCACAAACCACTCCAGAGCATGACCAGTAATCCCAATACACTTCAGTCTCTGCACCATACCGTATGGTCCACAGTGTCAAACGCCTTTGACAAGTCTATAAACAAATCAAATCAAATTGTATTTGTCACATACACGTGTTTAGCAGATGTTATTGCGGGTGTAGCGAAAATGTTTGTGCTACTAGCTCCGACACTGCAGTAATATCTAACAAGTAATATCTAGCAATTTCACAACACATACTCACAAATCTAAGTAAGGAATGGAATTTAAGTATATATATATATATGGACAAGAATACAGTATATACATATGAGATGAGTAGTGCAAGATATGTAAACATTGTTAAAGTGACTAGTGTTCCATTTCTTAAAGTGGCCAGTGATTTCAATAGGCAGCAGCAGCCGCTAATGTGCTAGTGATGGCTATTTAACAGTCTGATGGCCTTGAGATAGAAGCTGTTTTTCATTCACTCGGTCCCAGCTTTGATGCACCTGTACTGACCTCGCCTTCTGGATGATAGCGGGGTGAACAGGCAGTGGCTCGGGTGGTTGATGTCCTTGATGATCTTTTTGGCCTTCCTGTGACATCGGGTGCTGTAGGTGTCCTGGAGGGCGGGTAGTTTGGCCCCGGTAATGCGTTCAGCAGAGCGCACCACCCTCTGGAGAGCCCTGCGATTGCGGGCGGTGCAGTTGCCGTACCAGGCGGTGATACAGCCCGACAGGATGCTCTCAATTGTGCATCTGTAAAAGTTTGTGAGGGTTTTAGGTGCCAAGCCAAATTTCTGCATACTCCTGAGGTTGAAGACGCTCTGTTGCCCCTTTTTCACCACACTGTCTGCGTGGGTGGACCCTTCCAGTTTGTCGGTGATGTGTACGCCAAGGACCTTGAAGCTTTCCACCTTCTCCACTGCGGTCCCGTCGATGTGGATAGGGGGGTGCACCCTCTGCTGTTTCCTGAAGTCCACGATCATCTCCTTTGTTTTGTTGACGTTGAGTGAGAGGTTATTTTCCTGGCACCACACTCCCAGATCCCTCACCTCCTCCCTGTAGGCTGTCTCGTCATTGTTGGTAATCAAGCCTACTACTGTTGTGTCGTCTGCAAACTTGATGATTGAGTTGGAGGCGTGCTTGGCCACGCAGTCATGGGTGAATAGGGAATACAGGAGGGGGCTGAGCACGCACCCTTGTGGGGCCCCAGTGTTGAGGATCAACGAAGTGGAGATGTTGTTTCCTACCTTCATCACCTGGGGGCGGCCTGTCAGGTAGTCCAGGACCCAGTTGCACAGGGCGGGGTTCAGACCCAGGGCCTTGAGCTTGATGATGAGCTTGGAGGGTACTATGGTGTTGAATGCTGAGCTATAGTCAATAAACAGCATTCTTACATACAGTGAGGGGAAAAAAGTATTTGATCCCCTGCTGATTTTGTACGTTTGCCCACTGACAAAGACATGATCAGTCTATAATTTTAATGGTAGGTTTATTTGAACAGTGAGAGACAGAATAACAACAACAAAATCCAGAAAAACGCATGTCAAAAATGTTATAAATTGATTTGCATTTTAATGAGAGAAATAAGTATTTGACACCTCTGCAACACATGACTTAGTACTTGGTGGCAAAACCCTTGTTGGCAATCACAGAGGTCAGACGTTTCTTGTAGTTGGCCACCAGGTTTGCACACATCTCAGGAGGGATTTTGTCCCACTCCTCTTTGCAGATCTTCTCCAAGTCATTAAGGTTTCGAGGCTGACGTTTGGCAACTCGAACGTTCAGCTCCCTCCACAGATTTTCCTATGGGATTAAGGTCTGGAGACTGGCTAGGCCACTCCAGGACCTTAATGTGCTTCTTCTTGAGCCACTCCTTTGTTGCCTTGGCCATGTGTTTTGGGTCATTGTCATGCTGGAATACCCATCCACGACCCATTTTCAATGCCCTGGCTGAGGGAAGGTTCTCACCCAAGATTTGACAGTACATGGCCCCGTCCATCGTCCCTTTGATGTGGTGAAGTTGTCCTGTCCCCTTAGCAGAAAAACACCCCCAAAGCATAATGTTTCCACCTCCATGTTTGACGGTGGGGATGATGTTCTTGGGGTCATCGGCAGCATTCCTCCTCCTCCAAACACAGCGAGTTGAGTTGATGCCAAAGAGCTCGATTTTGGTCTCATCTGACCACAACAATTTCACCCAGTTCTCCTCTGAATCATTCAGATGTTCATTGGCAAACTTCAGACGGCCCTGTATATGTGCTTTCTTGAGCAGGGGGACCTTGCGGGCGCTGCAGGATTTCAGTCCTTCACGGCGTAGTGTGTTACCAATTGTTTTCTTGGTGACTATGGTCCCAGCTGCCTTGAGATCATTGACAAGATCCTCCCGTGTAGTTCTGGGCTGTTCTCTTGATCATTGCAACTCCACGAGGTGAGATCTTGCATGGAGCCCCAGGCCGAGGGAGATTGACAGTTCTTTTGTGTTTCTTCCATTTGCAAATAATCGCACCAACTGTTGTCACCTTCTCACCAAGCTGCTTGGATGGTCTTGTAGCCCATTCCAGCCTTGTGTAGGTCTACAATCTTGTCCCTGACATCCTTGGGGAGCTCTTTGGTCTTGGCCATGGTGGAGAGTTTGGAATCTGATTGATTGATTGCTTCTGTGGACAGGTGTCTTTTATACAGGTAACAAGCTGAGATTAGGAGCACTCCCTTTAAGAGTGTGCTCCTAATCTCAGCTCGTTACCTGTATAAAAGACACCTGGGAGCCAGAAATCTTTCTGATTGAGATGGGGTCAAATACTTATTTCCCTCATTAAAATGCAAATCAATTTATAACATTTTTGACATGCGTTTTTCTGGATTTTGTTGTTGTTATTCTGTCTCTCACTGTTCAAATTAACCTACCATTAAAATTATAGACTGATCATTTCTTTGTCAGTGGGCA